TAGCATCTGACCAATGAGAATTTAGCGTCACGATTTGAGACGCAGAGATTCAAATTCATTAGTCATCGATGCAGGCTCTCAATTCAGCTTGAGAGCCTGTTCGCAGGCTAACACGTTACGTGTCTCACTTGCGTTTTCAAATAATTCCCAATTCCTTGTAAACTGGACATGCAGTCTTATTTTCGGTCGGGTAACTTAGTAAAGAGTTAGACAAGTACTACGTAATTGAACGAGCTGCGCGAAGTGTACTTATTTTATGCGGCCGACCAAACAGTGTGAATGTATTAGACGTGAACGAGTGTCAGCTCATATTTTTCTCTCAATGTAAGCAATTTAGAAGTAACATTCATATCTCTCGACATTTTATAATTAAGGATAATATAAACGTACACATCTGTTGAATGATATCATGTTCGTATGTCTTCCTTATAACTTTTCGAACAATTCGTTCCGCAGCTGAGCAGCGATTTAATTAATAACAACTTGATTTTTCTAGGGAACTTTATGTTCTGAAAATTAAGACCAAATTTATGGAAACTTTTTGCTCCCACGCACATATATAGCCCATGCATTAAATGTCGCAGTTGAATAAGATACACCAGTTTTATGAATTTGGCAAGAGAGGTAGCATCTGTACCTTCTGCTTCATTGATACTGATTGCTGAACAACAGTAAAATCATTTATATCAAAACAAAAGCCTGAATTTTTCATTTGCAAGTTTTGACGATCTTTTCATTAGGTAATCTCGATCTATTCTAAAATTCCTCATTATGATTTAATTTATTCAAATTGCACCGAGGGTTAAGAAGAGGTAAAATTGATAATGCGTATATCCGAAACAGCGTAACTGCTCATATTATACAATAATATTCTACAGATTTTCCAGCTTTTTTAACGCTTATACAGGGAGCGCAAGTCTGTTTCATTCGAAATAACTTAAAATAAGGAAAGAAACGCTTGTACTGTTTAATTGATCTCAATCGTTCTTGGTCTTAGAAATTGGATTGAAAGAAGTGTTTGATATGTTATGTCCCCAAAAAATCGATTTGAAAACTATAATGAAAAGCGTCTGGCTCAATAAAAAGCCCCTTTATTTCGGGTGTGACGTCATGCATGTTGAAAAAAACAACCCAAAGATGGTAGGCTGCATGCTTGTAGGTCAAAATATTTCGAAAACGTAACACGATATACGAAAGAGATACAAAGTCTAGTCCGTCATATATCATTTTGAAATAATAATTAATAATTTATTGATTTATATTGCGCAATTATCAATCTTGCAATTTTCAAATGCGCATTACAAAGTCTAAAAAGTGACAGTATATCTAAATATGTTAAATATCAAATATCGATCTATATAAAATAAGCAACTATTCAAAAGCTTGAGGGAATAAAAATGTCTTAATAGACTGTTGAAGAATATTTAAGGATGAGCAACTTCTAATATGATATGGCAAAGTGTTCCACAGTGCAGAAGCTGCCATGCAAAATGCTCTATCGCGTAAAGTCTTTAGTGATTTCCCAGACGGAACACTTAATAACATAGTGTTGCTTGATCGGAGACTATATCTTGTAGACCCCTTGAGGCTAATTAGGTTACTTATATAATCTAGAGCAATTTTGTGAACAGCCTTAAACGTTAGTAAAATAATTTTAAAGTCAATACGGTATTTGACTGGGATGGCGTGTAAGCTTCGTAACAATGGACAGGTGTAATTCGGCATAATTTTGATTCTTGGAACACGAGACGTGCAGCGGAATTTTGCACCCTCTGTAGCTTGCTTAATTGGGAATTCGGCAATCCATACAATAAACTGTTGCAGTAATCCAAGCGACTTGATATAAAAGCATGTGTGAATGTCTGGGTCGTTTCTTTAGTAAGGTACTTTCTAATGCGTCTTATATTATATAGAAAGTAAAATCCAGAAGAGCATGTCTTTGAAATGTGGGTGCTCATGAAGAGGTTAGAATCAAACCATACTCCTAGATTCTTAGCAACAGGTTGGGGGGCAATGTCCATAGCACCAACCATGATATGGCTGAGGTTGACCATAGCGAGTTGCTGTCTTGTACCAATAAGGAGAAATTTAGTTTTATCAGCATTCATGATCAATTTGTCTTCAGACATCCACACCCTAATGTCTTCGATACAACGTTTCATGGCAATGACCGCATCTGACTCACCATGTTCTTCAGTTGGACTAAATGCAATATACAATTGCGTGTCATCTGCATAGCAATGTGATATTGGTAAGTGTTTCTCAATGGCGTCAAATAGTTTGCTGGCATAAATTGTGAACAATAAAGGCCCCAGGCAAGAACCTTGAGGAACACCATGAGGCACATCAAACTTCTCAGAAACTGTTCCGCGAATCGCTATGCGCTGAGATCTCTGGAATAAATAAGAGCGGCACCAACTAGAAGCACCTCCAGTAAAACCAAATTTAGATGATAAACGCTCAAGAAGAATACGATGATCAACCGTATCGAACGCCGTACTCTTATCCAGTAGTACAAGGAGCGAGACATGTTGCTCATTCCTGTTCATCAAAAGGTCATTCTTCACTTTCAGCAGAGAAGTCTCAGTACTATGATTCCTTCGATATGATGGTTGCGCAGATGGATACAGATCGTTATCTACCATATGAATATGTGTCTGTTCGAATACAGCTCTTTCAGCGAGCTTGGATATAAATGGTAAGTTGCTCACGGGCCTAAAATTCATGAAGGTAGCTTCAAGACCAATTTTCTTCAAGAGTGGATGAACAAGTGCTTCTTTCCAGCTAAACGGAAAGCAACCAAATTGAAGTGAGAGATTCATAATTCTTGTTATTACAGATAGTAATGCATCACATTGAGCAACTAACTTGGATGGCACTGGATCAAGGTGGCATGTCTTTAACGAAGAACGGCTAATTAATACATTAGCATCAGATTCAGAAAGGGGAGTGAACTCGGAGAACTGCGGGACATTTGATTCGGTCACAGGAGAAGCAATTTGCGGGTCATCGGGGACACTGGACAACTCATTATTATCTAATTGGCTACGTATATTTGTGATCTTTTGTTCAAAATATTTGCCCATGTCACTGACAAAAGACTTACAATCCAAATTAGGAGGAAGGCCATCATCGCTATGTTGACCAAATAAACACTTACATGTTTTAAACAGTTTTCTCTGGTCACCCTTGTTCTCTTCAACGATGTTCGTATAATATTCCGTACGGGCTGTAGCGATTAAATAATCGATTTACCGCAGTTCGTTTCATTTTAAAAATAGAAAAATCACTCTGCAACTTAGATAATCGCCACTTTCTCTCTGCTTTTCGTCTTTCTCGCTTTGCCTTCCTGAGTTGCTCATTAAAGCAAGGTACCCGTGGTCGTTTTACTATGATCTTAGTTTTAGATGGTGCAAGTTTTTCCAAGACAACCTTTAGAGTAGTATCATAGCAAGCAACCAAATCTTCTAGATCGTTCGTTTGTTTTGTGGATAGGTCCGATGCAGCAATGTCGTGATTAAAAGATGACACATCAACCGATTTCCATTTTCTATAAGTGACGCTTTCAACTGTTAATTCTGGCTTATCTGAATGAATCATGCATAACACAGAAGCATGGTCGGATATATATCGACCTATCCGAGGGGGCGTTTTGATTATCCTATCTGTTTGACGGGTTATGATCAGGTCGAGCGTATGTCCATGGATATGGGTTGGGCCTGACACATGCTGCTGAAGGCTGAAAGACTCCATCAAACAGATAATTTAATCGCATCCGGATCGTCCAAAATATCAGTATGAATATTAAAATCACCAACAATTAACAGTTGCTCGTTGGTTATAACTATTGATTCAAGAAAATCAGCAAACTCATGGAAAAATACATTTGCGGACACTTTGTGATTTTCAGAATGAGGTGACCGGTAAATAATCACTACACGAAGTTTGGGCGCTGATTGCGACAATACGCATCAGTCAGAGTATTCAAAAGACTCCGTTTCACCTGCACTATTCTTGACAGTAGAAAAAACGTCTCTAAACAAAAGTGCAGTGCCATATGCATGCACCCCCACGCCGACCAGTGCGTGGCTGATCTAAAAGCCTATATCCAGTATGGCACAGTTCCGCTCTTACAACATCGTCATCCGGGGTAAGCCATGTCTCAGTAATAGCAATTATATCGATTTTAGGGGCCGATTACATGAAGCATTTTCAACCCTGTGGTTGAACTCAGCCCTGTTTACCGGGTTGAAATTCCAGCCCTGTCTGTAATACAAAACTCTATCAAAATCAAACGCGCGATTACATGACAAAATTTTCAACCCAGGGCTGAGTTCAACCCCGGGGTTGAACTCAGCCACGGTTGAAAATTTTGTCATGTAATCGTTTCAACCCAGGGCTGAAATTATCATGAGTTATTCGAGCATACGTGGTAATGACTATTTATTACAAGAAAACAAAATAAAGGCTTTTTTACTTCCGGGAACCGATGCCGAGAACGTAGGTTGAAATCGCAAAAAATTTCAACCAGATTAACACGGCTGAGTTCAACCCCGGGGTGAAAGTTCTCCATGTAATCGGCCCCTAAGTGTCACAAATATAGTCCATAATATCTGCTGATTTATTTCTAACAGAGCGCCGAGCATTAAATAAACAGATGGACAATTGGTGTTCAACATTGCGAATCGCTGGCAAACAATTGATCTTAATTAAATTGTTTTCATTTCGTTGCGAGATGGGCATTGCAACCCGACTTTTCCTCACGCGGAAACAATAGGTTTTATATAACAAATAAACTTATTTTAGTGCCATTTCGTTTTCTGCAAACAAACTTATTTTAGTGCCATTTCGGTTTATGCTATTTTCCTGGTTTTAAGTTCTCTCTATAATATATTCATGTAGCCTTCAATTATCTTTTAATGAATTCATATGCAATGTTTATTTCTTAATATAGTATTTGCATGAAACAGCAAATAAAATATCCACCTTGCGGTTTTTATAAGTTGCACCGCAATGATTCATATCATTACGACTTAATTTATTCAAATTTCACCGTATAACTAGAATATATATAATAATCTGAAATTATCAATACGTGGTATATCTAATCTGCATGTATAGTTTCAAACCCTAATTCCCCAACTAACTATAGAAATCTTAAGTGTATAGGATATTCATGTTGCTTTTACACACACATAAAATTTAAGTATATGAATCTGCATTAAATATGTTTAATATGGACTCCAATTGTCGTAGAGAAATTTTGGAACTTTTATCCAATTATGTCAAAATGCATAGTTGGTACAGTGATATTGTACTGATTTGAACGTGCATGTGTTTCACGTACGGGATCATCGATTGTTCCTGAATTGCTTGCTTCTGGTAATACTTACATCTGTAGAAAAATGTAGTTATACAGGGTGTCGAAAAACCCCGAAAACTACTGAAATCACCAATAACAATTTAATTGTTAGAATTTGAATGCCTTAGCACTCTGTTGGTTCCCACGAGTGCATAAATGATTGACATAAGTAAATTTTATGCATAAAGAAACTATTTAAGAAGCTGCTTTAAATTCCCAAGAGCAGAAAATCGCGCACTTTACAAGGAGATGTCTTAACTAAATTTTAATACATGCACCTTGTCAATATTTTACGGATCATTACGTTCAGCTTTTTGGTAGGGCATTCAATTTTAACAATAAGTGATTTCAATAGTTTTCGTTTTTTTGGGACACCCTGTATATTGTTTTATAGTAATTGATGAAATGATGGTTTAAAACGATTAATTTAGGTAGCTGCTACAGTGTATATAAAAAAACTGAACAATTTGACAGCTCTAATTGCTTTAAATGAATGGTTGGATAAGAACACTAGGTCTTGTACTCATCGGACAAAACTCAAAGAAATAAAAATTAGAAAATTTAAAAGAAATACAGTATTCCATGTGTTCTTACCCAACCATTAATTCAAGGCAATTAGAGCTGTCAAATTACAACAATACGTTATAGCTAATTTGAATTTTAAAGGGGTTCAGTTTTTTTTTATACACCCTGTATATGATTAGATAGAAACAACTCAGTGTGAGTTAAGAATTTTTACATTTTTGATATTCCATGAGAAAGTTCTGGAAACAGCATTTAACCCATGCATTCTAACCTATTTCATATAATATTGCTGACTATATGTGTATATTCTGTGCGTGTGAGTAATATCCAGAAAATCATTGATGCAAACAAACTTTAGGCCGGTCGACGTCGTTCAATCATAACGACGTTTAATCATAATATAATAATAATAATAATACGAATTATTTATATAGCTCCAATTCCCTAAAATCCATTAGCGCTTTACAAGATATGTAACCTAACTAAGAACTAAGAGGAGATCTTACAAAGTAACTAATTAAAAACTATGCTAAAAAGATGTGTCTTAAGAAGTTTCTTAAAAATTTCAATATTATGACAGTTCCGTATTCTGTCTGGTAATGCATTCCACAATGTTGGAGCTGAAACAGAAAACGCTCTAAGACCATATGTACGTAGATTAAAATTAGTTGTATCAACAAGGTTTTTTGAGGATGATCTTAACGTTCTTTTTGGTTCATATGGTTTAACTAATTCTTTTAAATACAATGGTGCCATGTCATGCCAACACTTGAAAGTTAAGAGAATAATTTTAAAATTGATTCGTTGTTTTACAGGCAACCAATGCAATTCCCTCAAAATTGGTGTGATATGATCATATCGTTTAGTTAAGTTTACCAATCTAGCCGCTGAATTTTGCACACTTTGAAGTTTTTGGATCAGCCGCTTAGGTAGTCCATAGTAAGAAGAGTTACCATAATCAAGCCGTGATGTTATAAATGCATGAACTAGAGTTGTAGCTGCTGACTTCGACAAGTATTTCCTTATCCTTCTAATGTTTCGTAGATGATAGAATCCTGACTTGCATACTTCTGTAATATGTTGCTCCATGGACATACCACAATCGAAAAGCATACCAATATTTCGAACATAGTTCGACGGTGTGACTACCTCACTACACACCGAAACCGAAAAAATAGGTTGTTGAGGAAGGTGCCGAGCACTGAGAACTAACAGCTCAGTTTTGTCTCTGTTCATTTTTAACATATTTGACGTCATCCATGCATCAATGTCAGAGACACATGCTTCAATCTTGGATTTTGCTAGATCAAGTTGACCATCCACTGATGATTTAAAAAATATATATAATTGGGTGTCATCCGCATATAGGTGAAAGTCAATACCATGTTGTCGAATGATGTCAGCCAGAGAGAACGTATAAAGCACAAACAACATGGGTCCCAAAACTGACCCCTGCGGAACACCATATTTCAAGTCATAACTATTTGAGGTTTGTCCTTCCACCTTAACAAACTCTCTGCGATCAGATAGATATGATGAAGACCATTCCAAGACTT